GGAAAGCCAGCTTTGGCAAAATTTTAGGGAACCTGGAATCTAAATTATAGAATTTGGTACTGTATACTGTTGAAAACAATGCAGTGACACAGAGAGTTATTATTCAAGGAAGACCTTAACAGAAGGATATAAATGATAGAATCTGAGCTGAGATAGGAGAAATTGAGATGAAATAGAACTAAAAGGTGGATTATTTTTCAAAGGAAGACTTGATAGGAACAGAGGCTATAGAAGAATGAAGTTGTGAATATGGATGGCTAGGAGAATGGCAGTATAATTAAAGAAAATCAGGAAAACTAGTCTTCCAGGTAGAAAGTGAATATAATTTTGGATTTATTGTGTTTGAAATGGCAATGAAAGTTTCAAGTGGAAATAGACTTTTGGATATGTGATACTGAATAAAGGTGATAATTTGAGATTGTTGGAGTAGGTGAGATTACCAAAGGATGAGATGTGAAGATGGAAAAATATAACGTCAAGGGCAGAACTTTGAAGTCCTTATTTAGAGAATGGGAGGGCAAAATAGAGCAGGGAAATGACTCACATAAACTGTAGACAATCAACAGAGGGGCTTTCTGCAAGTGGAGACCATGGCTATACTTGCCTTGTTCCGGGACTTACTTCTTCTTAAACTTAGCTGGGAAGAATTCAGTCTTTCATCATTAAGTCTGATGTTAGCTGTAGGCTTTTTTATAGTGCCCTTTATAAGGTTGAGGAAATACTCTTCTATTGCTAGTTTACTGAGAGATATTACAATGAATGAATATTTTCAAGTGGTTCTTCTGAATTTATTGAGATTATCATCATTTTCAAGACTTTTGATGTGATGAATTCTATTGATTGATTTTCTATTGTTGAGACAACTGCATGGTTATGCTATATCATCCTTTTTTATATTGTTGAGGTCTATTTTCTAAGAAATATTTCTATTTCTGTTAAGAAAATCTGCATCTAGGTCCATGAGAGACAATGGTCTGTAATTTTTCAGTAATGTCTTTAATTTTAGTACCAGGATAATGCTAGTATCAAAAAAAAATGAGTTGGGAAGTACTCCATCCTCTTATTTTCTAGAAGAGTTTGTGAAGAATTGGTATTACCTCTTCCTTAAATAGTTGGTAAAATTCCAAGTGAAAGCATTTTGGCCTAAAATTTTCTTTGTAGAGAGGTTTTTTTGTTTTTTGTTTTTGTTTTTTCCTTTACCCATAAAGGCTATTCAGAGTGTCTCTTGTTTTCCTGAATCAGTTTTGCTGGTTTGTGGATTTTGTTTCTTATCTAAATTATCTAGTTTTTTGGCATCAAGATATGCATAATCTGATTAACCTTTTAGTGTCTGTAGGCTCATTGTGATGTATCTCCTTCATTTCATTTATGTCTATTTTCTGTGTATCCCATCTGCTCTTTGTTTTATTTTCATTTTTTCCTGCTTTCTCTTACAGTCAGTATTTTTTTTTTATTCCATAAAGTGGGTATTTTTTAGGCTACAGAAAAGGGAGATGGGAGGTTTTGTGTATCATAACTGAAATTCTCTTTGTATGATGTGATGTGAAGGTGGGCAAATATTGTCATCTTATATAGAGAAGGTTTAGAATAGTTATTTGGGAAGGTCTCCTGAAAAAACAGCAAGAAACTAATATGTGGTTTTCCAAGCATTAATGAGGGTCGAGCTGAAGTAAACATGGAAATCATTTGGACAGCTAAGGTATATTGTAGTCACATCTGAAGATCTGCCTCCAAAACAGGGCCTAAAAGTTGGAAAATGTGAAAAAAAATTATAGTGGAATTACAGTGGTGGTTAGGTTAGTTCACATTTTAATTTTAGTTTAAATAAGATCCAATCATATTTTCCCTCATTAAGGTTGACGATATCAGCTTCTTTTAGAGAATCACATTTTTCTGAGAGTCAAAAACTTCGAAATAATTTGGCAGCTGTCTTTTCTAAATATTAACCACTCAGCTAATTACATAAGGCAGATGAGTGCAAGGAATCTTCAATAGGAGTGAGGGAAGTTTCTCCCATTTTCTAATAGGTAAGTTATCTCAAAAGTGACGAAGGTGTAATAGCTGGAAGGAGTTGGTATTGTTGAGTTGTTGAGTGGAAATAAAATGAATGGAAAATTGGCAATCCAGTTGGATATTTTGTGGACTAATGGTTTGGGAACCATATTTACGAGACTAGGATAATTACTCTACTCTTTGAACTGATTACAGTTTGCACTGTATTCCTTTTGTTTGCAAAAACTGTGATTGCTTGAATCACATAATGAAATATGAGTTCAGTGAAAAGGCATAGTTTAGTTGAGCCAAATCCTCCTTTGTCCATAGACATTGTTATTTCACTTACATATTGAAAATCTATGTGAAGAAAAATGGGGAAATCATAGTATTGTAGGAGCATTTCATTTAAATTGCTTTCAAAGTTACAAGAAGTTTCTCAGAAGAAATTTTTTGACAAACCTCAACCTGAGCAGTAGAAAAGTAACATTTTATGTGAAAAATTGATGTGGCTAGTTTCTATTGACAGAAAAAAATAAAAATAAAAAAAGTAAACTGACCCATCCTATTCTAGCAGTAGCCCCTATAATATAGAATAGTGAAGAAGAGTGCAGACTGGGTCAGAATACCAGGGTTTGAATATTGCCTTTACGATTTACCAGCTGTAGAATCCTGGGCAAGTTGCTTAATCGCTTTTTGTTTCTTTGTCTCTATCTGTAAAATGGAAAAATAGATTCGCTGTGAAGATTAGATTAGTTAATATATGCAACATGTTTAAACAAACCCTGGTGCATAGAATGTACTCAGAAGTTGTAGTTATTGGTACTGGGGCGAAGAAAGGTTAGATTCTGTGCATTGTCAGTAATTTGGGGTTTTAACATATTAAAGAATATCTAGATCTGGTACTCTGGGTGCCAAATTTATGTATACTCAATAATTTACCTTACAAGGGTACTTGGAATGAAAATGTCAAATGCCATCCATCTGAGTGTGACTATTATAGACAATTTGTGGTTTTAGCTTGTATATTGTATTTTTTTAGTCAAGCATACAGTCACTTCTTTGAGTACAATTTTAATGTTAGTAAGGTAATTATAATTATGTTTCTACATGTATATTCTAAATCAACTCTATAATTTTTCAAAAATAAAATATCATTTGGCACTGAAAAAACAGTATAATCAAGGCAAATTTTGTGTCTTTTTTAAGTGACCAAATGAACACCATGATTTTGATAACTGTCAACATCATAGTTAAATGGTAAAAGGTACGGGAAGATACTTTGGGGATAAAATCAAACTGTAGTGTAAAAGAGGGAAGAAAATCAGCATTGAATGGGTGGTAACCATGGTAGACAGTTACACCCCCCCATATATTATCTCATTTATTTATCTTCCAAAATCCATAAAAGGGGTACATACTATTCCCGTTTTACTAATGTTAAAACTAAAGCTCTCAGAGTTTGATTTCAACAATTTTTCCAGGCTGTTCAGGAGCACAACTGGGGGTCGGATCCCAGGCATTTGCTTTCAAAGCCCATCCTCTCTCTACTGCACTTGCCTGCCTCCCAGAAATGATTTGTACACCACTGAACACGTTTAGTACAAAAATTATGACTGATTCACAAAATAAAAACTTCCCTAGTTTTTAAATATCTTTTAATTCAACTAGTTTTCCATTGCCTTGAATTTTATTAAGAATGTGCCATTAAAACTCATGCTGAAACAACCCTCCCACCCTGGGTCTTTTTGCTCTTATGAACAACAAAGGGAGGCTCCACAGGCACACTCGTGGAAAGAGTGATAACTCTGGGGCTGATTCTGGCTTTGAGGCTCACTAGTTATCTCACTTTGGGGTAAGACATTTTACAGTGCTGAAGGCCCTCTTTTAGTTGTACAATGAAAGAAAAGTACTAAATGATATCAAATGTTCATTCATTACATCTCTTTTGATGCTGTATGATGTTATCAGTCTGCGCTGCCTTTTCCTAAAGGGCCAGAAGTTCAAAGATGCACCAGTTTTCCAGGGAAAGATTCCCTAGTTGGTAAACTCTAGCAAAATTCCTGGTTGGAATTCCCCAGGATTTATAAAATGACTCTATGTACAAGATTTTGTAATAAGCAAACCTAGAATCATTTTTTTAAGATCCTATAAATTCTTTTCACGCTGTATGTGGGATATCCTGATTTTTCTTTCTTTTTTTTTTTATTTCAGGATATTATGGGAGTACAAATGTTAAGGTTACATATATTGCCTATGTCCCCCTGCCCCCTCGAGTCAGAGCTTCAAGTGTGACCATCCCTCAAATATTGCACATCTCACTCATTATGTTTGTATATACCCATCCCCTCCTACCCCCTCCCACCTGCCCAACACCCGATAAATGTTATTCCTATAATGTCCACTGAGGTGTTGATCAGTTAATACCAATTTGCTGGTGAGTACATGTAGTGTTTGTTTTTCCATTCTTGAGATACTTCACTTAGTAGAATGGGTTCCAGCTCTATCCAGGAAAATACAAGAGCTGCTATATCACCATTGTTTCTTAAAGCTGAATAGTACTCCATGGTATACATATACCACATTTTATTAATCCACTCATGTATTGATGGGCACTTGAGTTGTTTCTACAACTTTGCAATTGTGAATTGTGCTACTATAAACATTCAAGTGCAGGTGTCTTTTTTGTAGAGTGCCATTTGATCTTTTGAATAGGTGCCCAGTAGTGGAATTGCTGGATCAAATGGTAGATCTACTTATATCACTTTAAGGAACAGACATTTTTCAAAAGAAGACAGAGTAATGGCCAAAAAACATATGAAAAAATTCTCAACATCTCTAATCATCAGGGAAATGCAAATGAGAACTACAATAAGATATCACTTATCTCCAGTAAGAATGGCCTTTATCAAAAAGTGCCCAAACAATAAATGTTGACATGGATGCAGAGATAGGAACACTCCTACACTGCTGGTGGGACTGATTTTTCTTTTCTATATTTTCCACAGGATTATTTTACAAATGCAAATAGAGAGTTAAAAAAAGATGTTCAGCAAGATTACCACCTAGAATATGCCATGGAAAATAGCACACACACAATAATCGAGTTTACCAGAGAACTGCATACATGTGATACAAATGACAAGAGTATAACGGTAAGGAGTCTGTCAGTGAATGCATGCATGAAGAAATTGTATCCTTACACTTGTGAAATGCTTTGCAGAATAAAAGAAACAAATATTTAAAGATAATCTTTGATAACAAAGTCACATAGTCTTTGGGGGAATATTTAAAAAATCTTTTTAGAAGACAAAAATAAAATCTAAGACTATAAATTTCAATAATGGCAATTTTGTATGAATTTAACATTTTGAAGAGCTCTTTAAAGTTTGTATGATTTAGCTATAAATGCATTTTGGCTCCTCTGTAAAGTTTGAAAATAGACAGTAGATAAGGTTTGAAGACATGTATTACACAAGAGAGAATTATGAATCTGAATACTGAGATATAATTGGAATTTATAACCAATTCATCTTTGTAACTTTCTAAAATCAAGATGAATACTTGGCTGATTATAATTGCCTATTGCCATATTATATGAGATCTCTTATTTTCAGACTTCATGCAAAAATTAATATCTTTATGTGTATGCAAATTAAATATTTAGAGGATATATAATTCATGTGGTACATCAGGAATTTCCATGAATTGCTTGGATCAATTTTATTTTGTATAGACCAATATAATTATCTTTTTTATTTGGTAAATTAAAACTTTAAAATGGAAACATAAAAAATATGAAGCAGTTCTGATTAACATTCAGCATAAAGAGTAAAAGAGAAAGAGAGAAAAACACATGCAAAGACATGGATCACTTTTTATATAATATACAGTACAATTATGCTTTAATTAGAATAATAATTATAGTCATTTGACTTATTAAGAAAGAATATAGCAAAGAGAACATTTAAAATAAATAGCTTTTGCTTTATTATTTCTTTTCAAAGTTCTTATTATAAAGATCTGGCAAAAGCACCTCAATCTGTGGGAGGACTGAACAATTTCTTTACACCCCAGCGAACCTTCCCCACCCACAACCCTTTGGGCAATCTCTCTTTTTGTTGCTCAATGGAAACCAATTTCATCTGACAGTACTTTCCCTAGTTGGGGTACCTGAGTCTCTTGGAAATTCCCAAGATTCATAAAATGACAATAGAGCAACTCTTGTGTAATAAACAAACCCAGGATCAGAAATCTTTCTGTCTTTATACTTGCTCTATAAATTCATACATGTGACCAGGCTAGTGCCTAGGAAAAAACCTACTGTGAAAGGTAAAGTCTTAAGGTAATTTTAGTTTTTATTCTATTTAGTTATTTTTCCTAAAATGTTCCATGGTACTAAAACTGGTTCTAATTTTCCAAAGTCCCTGCTGCTTAACAAGAATATTTGCTTGGTAACTAGTAGATGCTAGTTTAAAGTTTTGGTATGATGATGATTTGCTATTGTCATATTCATGAAAGTGTTAATTACTAAGTCATTTGCCTTTCATTCTATTTTGGAACACCTAATTTTGCCAAAAAAGATGATTTCCTTCCAAAAAAATAATAATAATTTGTCTAGTTGCATCCTTAATAACTAAATCAAATGTATACAATTAATGTCAGAGACCATGTTAAAAATGCCGAGTGTCATTATTCTCTCTCTATTTTTGTTTTTTACTTGTATATCTTGTTTAAAATAGAGTTCTTTAAACTCAACTCAGTGGTAAGGAAAGTGCTCTCATGAGACATACTCTTGCCTATGTCTGGTCACCAGGATAGCACCGTGAGAGTGATCTGGGCCTACCACCACGAGGATGTGGGAGAAGCTGGCCCCAAGTACCACGACTCCAATCGAGGCACCAAGAGTCTGAGGTTATTGAATCCTGAGAAACCCAGCGTGCTGTCTGCGGCCTTACCATACTTTGACCTGGTAAATCAGGATGTAAGTTTTTTTCAGGTTTTGTGATTGTAGGGATGGGTGTATTAAAAGTGTATAAAAGCATTTCTGCTTACATTATTGTATTTAATAGCATGTCAAGAGTATGTGACATTGTTTCTTCTTCCCCTTTTTATTAAGACAGGTCCCCATCCCAAACAAAGATACAACATATTGGTGCCAAATGTTTAAGATTCCTGTGTTCAAAGAAAAGCATCATGTAATAAAGGTATGTCACTTGCTGACAGGCTAAAATTAATTTGTAGGAATGGAGGGAAAACTTGATGTCATTAATATGAAAATAGTAAAAGAAATATAGAAATGATTTTCAATTATATGGAAGTTATTTAGAGAAGAAAGAACTGGCTTAGCTGAGCCACATACCATTGTAAGAGTCGGAAAGCATGCTATTGTAAGAGTCGGTATTTTAGTTATCTCCTAATTTTACATATCAAAGGTAAAAGTTTGAACATCACTAGTTATTTTTTAGAAAACTTCTACAATTGGAATTGCTAGAATTGCAACTTAAAATAATATGTTTGTATATTGATAAATTATATCCAGGAAGGTTACATTCTCTACCAATAATTTTAAAAAATATGTGCTTCATTGAAAATGCTGGATATTGTCATAAAAATCATTAGTACAGTATTTTTTGAAAATAGAAAATATACAGAATCTGGTAATAAATAAGTCAAATTTGCCTTTGGCATACAATTTCTTTCCACCTTCCCTGAAAAGGGCCTCCTAAAACTTTTGCATCTAGTTAGTGAATGAACAAGTATTTTTAAAAAGTTACAAGTCGTTGGCTCTGTGCTGATAATTGCTGGCAGTTCCAAAGAGGCTGAAGATATGATCTGTGCTTTCAAAGAACTTACAGTGAGATTATGGTAGACGTGGCTGTGACATAAAAAAGAGTAAGACTGGACCAGGTGCAGTGGCTCACGCATGTAATCCTAGCTCTCTGGGAGGCCGAGGCAGGCGGATCACTCAAGGTCAGGAGTTTGAAACCAGCCTGAGCAAGAGCGAGACCCTGTCTCTACTAAAAATAGAAATAAATTAATTGGCCAATAATCTGGACATGGTGGTGCATGCCTGTAGTCCCAGCTACTCGGGAGGCTGAGGCAGAAGGATTGCTTGAGCTCAGGAGTTTGAGGTTGCTGTGAGCTAGGCTGATGCCACAGCACTGTAGCCAGGGTAACAGAGTGAGACTCTGTCTTGAAAAAAAAAAAAAAAAAAAGAATAAGACAGAATTAAATAGTGTATCCAGAATATCGTAAACATTCAGAAGGCCAGATATTGCTTCCTATCAGCCCCCATACAATGTAAAGAGGTAGTGTGGATATAAGAAAGTTGCAAATTTCTAGACTTTGGAATGTAGAGGGAAATATGTGGGTTTGAATTACAGGTCCACCCTTTAATTAACCATGTACTCATAGGTTAAGTCACTCTGGGGTAATGCTGTAGCTCTAGGTTTCCTAATCTGTAAAAGGTAGACAGTCATAACACTTTCCCTTCCAACCTCAAAGCATTTTAGCAGAGATGGAAACACTGAGAACATTCTATAAAGTGACTTACATTTGTAAATTCCTAATATATTTGTCCAGCTGCACAGATCTGCCTTTTGTTTACAGAATGATTCACAACTACATAGAGAGGCAAAAGGGGTGGGTTGAGGGAATGCTAGTGAGTTAATATGTGGTCCTAAATATTTGTAGGATATTTTTGCAAACAGAAGACTTACCAACAGTATGACTGTAGATGAGTCATTTCCCTCTGTGCAATAAATTATTTTCTACTTTAGCATGTGAAAGGGGGATGCAAATTCTAATTTTATATACTTAATACAGTACTTAAATCCTTCCTTCATACCAATGAAAAGTCTTTCTCAGAAAAGAGAATGTTATATGTACTGTGTGTCATATATTACTGTGTGTCGTTTGCAATAAATTTAATTGGGACCTGGCTTAAGGGACAAACATAAAACTGAAGGTTCAGAAATGAAAAGAAATGTTTCACAAAATAGGTCCTTTATTCATTTTTCAGCAAACATCAGTTGAAAGGATGTAAACTCCTTCACCACTTATGTTAATGCATTTTATTCTTGTCATTATCAATGCCAATAATAATTGAGTTGAATGAAATAAAAGTAATTACCTACATTTCAAGGAGGTCAATATATATGTTCCAACCCTCGGTGTAGGATATTTGCGGGATACCTCATCTAAGAATTTTTAGCTAACTTTTCTACAACAGGCATATTATAGTAATACTCAGCTAAGTGGGCTTAGAATTAAGCACTTATGGGACCACGTTACTGTCTTCACAAGGCATTTGCATCAAGAGGGATCTTAGTGACATGAAAGACTCTGGAGCATCTTTTGGGACGTTTGGAACTCTACCAAACAACAAAAGTTCCTTACCTTGGGCAAGAGGGGATTTGAGGGAGGGACAGCAGGTCAGAGGAGTGCTGATGTCAACAGGAGTGCTCTGTTGCAGGGGACAGAGGTTTGGTGACTAGAATTTATAATTATATTATTATGTAAGAATATCACTTATAGGATAGATTCCTGATCTTGTTAAACCCTAAAATATTTTTAAAATTCATTAAGTATTATGAAACATTTTTCTTGAAAATGAACTCAAGTAGGACAATATATATAAAATGAAAGCCTTACCGGAAAAAAGAAACTTAAAATATTTAGGTTATGTAAATGGTTTTAAGGCAGTTTTTATTCGCAGCTTATACTATTACCATAAAATCTCAATGAAGTAGAATGCAGAAGGCTAGCACTTGCGTTAAGAAATGACCTAATTTCCATTCTCTTTTCCCTAGCAGAGATGATTTCTAAAAATTTAAGAAAAAGTACATATTCTTTTCATAGAATCAAAGACACCTGTTTTGAAAAGCCATCAGAGCTTAAGAGCTTCTCCTTATTCTTTATTTTATGTCTCACAGATCTCTGTATCAAAAAGCCTCAGTCCTTCTCTGATACAAACAAAAAGTACTTTCACAGAAAAGAGAACATGGCTTTTACATTGCATTGTGTGGTGTGCCATTTGACATGAGTGTTAAGAATATGAATTACACTAGTATTGTGAGAAATCAGTTTCATTGTCTGGAGTCTAATTCAAACAAAGAAATAGTTTGTATTTACAGTTTAAATGTTGATAGTACATAAGTATCCCTTTATCTGGGGTTTCACAGTTTCAGTTACCCATGGTCAACCACACTCAAAAAATATTAAATGGAAAATTCCAGAAACAGCCAATCCATAAGTTTTAAATTGCACCCCATCGTAGGTAGCATGATGAAATCTCACACGGGTTGTTCTGTGTGACCCGGGACTTGACTCATCTCTTTGTCGAGCATATCCATGCTGTATCCATACTGCCCACATGCTAGTCTCACTTAGTAGCTGTCTCAGTTATTAGATCTACTGTCGCAGTTATCAGATCAGTGGCCGTGGTATTGCAGTGCTTGTGTTCAATAACCTTATTTGACTTCATAGTGGCCCTAAAGTGCAAGAGTAGTGATGCTGGCAATTTGGATATGTCTAAGAGAAGCTGTCAGGTGCTTGTTTTAAGTGAAAAGGAGAAAGTCCTTGACTTAATAAAGAAAAAAAATCATGTGCTGAGGTTGCCAAGACCTATGGTGAGAATGAATCTTTTGTCTGTGAAATTGTGAATAAGGAAAAAGAGATTCATGGTAATTTTGCTGTTGCACCTCAAACTGCAAAAGTCATGGACACGATGCAGGATAAATGCTTAGTTAAGATGGAAAAGGCATTAAATGTGTGGGTAGGGGCCACGAACGGAAACGTGCTCCAATTGATGGCAACGTGCTGCGTCAGAAAGCAGTGAGTCTGTATGAAGACTTCAGCAAGGGATTCCCGAAATGAGTGTCACTGAGCCATTTACTGGAAGTAAGTGATGTTTACACAGATTCAGGAATGCAGAAGGTCAATAGTAGCCTAAGGCTATGTCACAGTGCCCATGTCATTCATCTCACTTCATCTCATCACATAGGCACTCTGTCATCTCACATAATGAGAAGAAAAGGGTAAGTGCAGTATAATAAGATATTTTGAAAGAGAGGCATATTCACATAACTTTTATTACAGAATATTGTTATAATTGTTCTGCGCTTAGTTGTTGTTAATCTCTTACTGTGCCTAATTTATAAACTAAACTTTATCAAGGTATGTATATATAGAAAGAAATATATATAAGGTTCGTAGTTTCAGGCATCCACTGGGGGTTTGGGAACATATCCCCCTTGGTAAAAATGGTACCACTGTATACATTTTGTAGCTGTAATAATTGACTAAGCAAATAAAATACATCAGTAGTTTGATGGCAATAACTAAATTTAAAAATATTAATTACATTTTAAATTTAAGTCTTAATCATGTAAAAATTTGTTTGCTTCTAAAACTATGAAATAAGATAAATAATCTTTAAAATTATCAAAATTTTAAAATAAACATAAATGATTTTATCTGCAGGAAAGATGAGATTATAATAAAAATGACTGGCTTTTCCAGTTCATTTGTGATTCCAATTTCTTGATTTGTATTTTGATTCCTGAAAAAAATCTTTACAATTTTGACTTGAAAATGTGGGTATTGTCAGATGATAGCGTGTCACACTTGCAGGAGGATATGGAAATTGTAGAAAAATAATATTCTTGCTAATTTATATTAAAACTACACTTATCAGAAATCAGCTCTGTGACAGACACTTGAGACCCTCTCCCTAGCCCTTCTCTCTGTATTTCAGCATGAGTCTCTTTAAGCTTTACCATAGATGTGACTTTACCCTATATTTAAATATTTGAGAGAAGGTGATGCTTTCTATTCTCTTTAGTCAATAGTCGTGTCATTGTCACCACTCATAGTCATGTTCGGATATGCTCTGCTAGAGGCTGGGGTTATCAGCTGGTTGAACACGCTGCTTCTTTTGAGGGGCTTTTTTTGTGAGGGAATTCTCCTCATAGATGAACATTTCTAATTCATGGGTTTGAACATGATGTGTCTCATTCAATTTAATGAATACTTGTTGATGGCCTATTATGGTAAAGAGGAGAAGAAGGGAAACCAGCCAGCTAAAATCACTATCCCTTAGTCCTCTTTCCTTAAAGGACCAGCTTCCTCACAGGGAGGCAGTAAGCCTCATGCTCTAGTAGGTGGATTCTGCGATTGGATGGATGGTCTTTTTTCCATTTAT